GTTTTTGTACATTTAGGGGCTTTCAGAGCAAAGTGGAGAGCTACAAGCAACCCCGCTATCTTCACATGTCTTGTGTATGTGTTGGAGCTGCAATTTTCGGCAGTTTTCTAAAAGGTGTATCTACTGAACAAATATTTATGGGGCATCTACTATGTGAATTTTGAAGTGAACGTGACAGGCAAGCTCCCTGTCCTCATGGACACAATATGGAGTCCTTCATCTGTTAGAGAGAACTGGAACTACTCACATGTCCTGCTGTGGGAGTAATATTGAACTTCACACCAGCCCTAGAAAAGGCATTCTTAGCTCCAAGTTACAGATGAGGAAACTCAGACTCAGAGAGGTAAAACTACTTGCCCAAGAGGTTACATGACTAGTAGGTAGAATCCATCCAACCCCATTTTGCTATAATTCCTTCATTCATGGCACCAGAGGTGGTGTCTTATGTCAGTTTCAGAACAGGGATTGACAAACTAAGTCATGTGGTCCGGCTGCCTGTTTGTATACAAAAAGTTCTATTAAAGCACAGCCACACCCATTCGTTCACATATTTTCTTTGACTGCTTTTCCACTGTAACGGCAGAATTGAATAGTTGTGGCAGTGACTTCATAGCCCACAAAGACAGAAAGATTTGCTATCAGACCCTCTAAAGAAAAGATTTGCCACCCTTCCCAGAACATTTCTCCCTATATTAGTGAGGATAATATAAGCTCCTGTAACAAACCCCAGAATTTTGGTGGTTTAACACATTTTAAAAGGGTTATTTCTCAATCACACAATAACCCAGCCAGGGTTTTCTGGGCAGAGGTAGGGTGGGGTAAAGGCTCTGCTTCAGGGATCCAGGATGATCATTGCTCTGAGTTCACCCTGGGCAGAATCATCCAGCCAGCAGACAAGAGAAAAAAAGAGACATCATGCACAAGAGATCCATATGGGCTAGATATGAAAGTGGCACACTTTACCTCCACCTACATTCTATTGGCCATAACTCAGTCAAATAGCCGTACCGAAATGCATAGGATATTGGGAAATGTAGTTTACTGTTATGTCCAGGAAGAAGAGGAAACAGGCTTTGGTGAGCACATAACAGGCTTCACCACAATCCCTAAATGCTAATCATTCTTATACCCCCCCAAAAATCTCTAGTTTTGACTTCTTGAATCTATTTTAAAGCTCACATACAGTATCCATGTGTTTAATTTTTTATAATGTGTTTAAATTTGTTTTAATTGAAATGAGATAAATTTACCCTTACCTTTTTGAGATGAGTAATATTAGCTACTGCAGCAAACATCCTACAATTACAGTGGCTTTGAACAACAAAGTTGTATTTCTCACTGAGCAAGGTTAAATGAAGATATTCCTGGTCCAATAATCTCTTCTGAGTAAGCAACTCAGAGGATAGGGCTCCTTCCACCCCAGAGTCCTTTGCCATGTGGAAAGTTTTTTTTTCATACACTATAACTCAGGATGTTTTGTGGCCAGAAGTAGAAGTAACAGAGCAATTCACAGTCTCACCTAGACCTAGGTGTTGGTGGAAAAGGTTTCTCTAGCTGTGAACCCAGGAAGAAAACTAAATACTGGAGGGATGGAAGGTGGAGGACGGCTGTGGGGTGGGAATTATGCTCTAGAATATTCTACCACAAAGATGATCCAGGTCTTGTGGGAAGACAGACATGCAAATAGGCATTTTACTAGGCCATAGTTAGATCGACAATAAGATATGAGGAAGGTGCTGTGAGAACTCTGAAGAAGGAGATAGGATTTTTAAAACCTTCCTCAGCTATTGGTAAGAATTCATAAATGTGCCTGAAACTTAATTTGTTTAGGCTGTCAATCTTATAATTCTTTTTTCACAAAAATTGTAAGCCCATGTTCCCTAATTCCTCAAATGCGGAGCACTGCTGGCAGCCTTGTTTGACAGCTTAGAGAGCTAGGACATTTGTCCATGTGTGCTTACTAAAACATAAGCTCACCTGGAATTTGGATCTCACAGCGTGAAAGGATTTTAATAGGATTCATTCATACATTTGTTCAACATTTTATAAAGACTTCTGTCCCCAAAATTCAATTTACAATTTTTACAACATCTTACAAAGACTTTGATCTTCAACTCTCCCTTTACAAATTTACAAGAATTTACACTCACTGCAAGGGTTTCTTTCCAGAGTTTTTTAAAAGTCATTTTTCCTTAGGATTCAAAAATGTTAATTTTAGATGAGAGGAGAGGCAGTTGAGGCTCACATGTGGGGACTGTGTGTGATGAAACTGCAGGACACGGCAGCGCCCGGATTCTAATTTAGAACAGCCCGCCTCAGGCAATAGGAAAGTCATTTGTCCCTGTGCGCCCACATCACAATCTGGCACAACTGGGGGTTAGAGCCAGCCTCAAACTCTGTCTGGCTACAGGATTCTAGTTTGCCATCGTAATTTATATATTCCATCCATGTGCTGACTCTCCCGCCCTCTCACCCCCTTTCGAAGTGATTCTAATTAGAAAACACACAGGAGGATCCTTGTGGGATCTGAAAGCTGCTGGGATCCCTTCTTTGATCTCCCATTTGAACCCGGGCTGTCTATTGTTTCAAATTCTCCTCCAGAGCTCCAGTTGACAATTATTGGCATTTTAGAGCCTGGAGATTGCAATAAGATGCCTGCCAGTACCAGCCGCCTAAAAATCCAGAGGAAGCAAGCACTCCCTCCAAACATCTCCCTCCGCCAAAACAAACAAGCAAAAAAAAAAAAGAAAAGAAAAAAAACCATACATACATACATGTACATGCATACATACATACACAAATACTGAAAAGGAAAAGATATCACGTGTTTTATAAACAGCTGCCAATTTATTAAGATGCTAGGGCTGGTTAGAATTTTAAAGATGCTCAAGGCATCTTTAAAGCGGCAACTACCCCGGACACAAATAAACCTAACCAGCACCCCATAACTTAACCACCGCTGTTTAAATTCCACAAAATGTGCCACAGTGACCTGTGGAATTTTCGGAGTGATTAAAGGTTTCTTGTCTTAATTTGGGGAAGACTTGGCTAAGGTACCTTGCGTAAAGCTGTGAAATCAGAAGGTAGTTGTTTTAAGAATCTTTCCTCAGTTTGTAGGAGAGAGAGGAGGAAGGAAGAAACTGGACAAGGGGGAGAGGGGAGTGCCGGCGAGAAAGACTTGTTTATTTATTTAATATCAGTCACCAAGGGAGCATTGGGAGGGCTCATCCCAGGGCACTGGATTGCCTTGGAAATTTACGAAATGAATGTGTGCGAACGCCTGGACTGAAGGCTCCGCACGCGGCGAGGGAAGGGCTGGGCGGGCACAGGGGAGGAGGGAATGAGAAAACGGAGTGGGAGGCGGGGGGAGGGCAGTATAAAAGTCCCCAGTCATGCGGAGTGCCCGCCACTCCTAGCTACTTCGGGAAGGCGGGAGCCACAGCAACACCCCGAGGGAGGGAAACGCGTATGGTGCCACTTCAGTGATCTGAGCCCACAATCGCCTCAGTTCGCTCCTGCATCGGAGGCAAGGACCGTGCGGCCTCTGCTCCACCCGAGCCCTTCTACTCGCCAGCTGCCCTCTGCAAGGCATGAGCGGCGCGCGGGAGCCCGAGGCTGCAGCGCGGACATGAGGCGGTGGCCCAGGAGCGGCGGCTGTGCGACGGCAGCCCCCAGGTCCCCTCTGGGAGCAGCGCCTCCGGGATGAGCCCCCCGACCCGCGACTGCCAGAGCTGAGATTTACCCCCAGTTCCCCACCTGCGTTCTGCGCGCCTGAGCTGCGGGTACCCCGCCTGAACAGCTTCCCGCCGCTACACCTGCGCGCTGGACCAGACCCACGTCCAGCGAATCGGATGCGTCTCCTTTCCCAGGCTCTACGGGGCGACACGCGTGCGTGAGCAGCGGTGCTTAGGAGGCGGGATCCTCACAGTCCAGGAGCAACTGTCAAGACCTTTCTGGAACTACACTTTATCATCCCCCTCTTACACACGCACGCCAGCTTCAGGCGGGGGCGCACAGTCGCAGACAGACAGCTGGCTTGTCCCGCGCCCCCTCCGTTCTCCATCACAATTCCAACTCCACTTTGTCAATAAAAGTTTCTAAATTCGCCCAGGCACCCCCACCCACCCACAGCCCCGAGCTTCGGTGGACATAAGGGCTCTGCCCTCGCGGGCCAGTGATCTCGGCAGCAGTGGCGCACACCTGGCACAACCCGGCAGGCGGACGCAGACCCCGGAGGGGCGTCCGGGTCACCTACAAACAGTGACAACCCCCGTGTACCCGGGGACCCCATCTGGAGCCGGCTCACCCTAGCACTCCGCAGCGGGGCGGCTCGGCCCGCGGCCCGAAGGAGCGCAGGGAGGAGGGGAGGTGGCTCGTCGGGTGAGTGGCTCAGGGCGGGGGAGCCAAGCGTGGAGGTAACTCCGGGCCGCCACTGAAGCC